GTTGTCAAAACTTCAACTTGTTAGTGTTCTGTGAAAAAAACAGGAAATTCTTATTAAATGCTGTAAATAATCATCAAAACCATGTAAAATAAATCTAGCGATGCAACAAATCCATTTTTTTCTCATTGAGATTGCCAACCTTCGTTAGGAAAATCCCCCAAATCTAACCAAATCTTGATGTAAGTTATAACCAGTTTTATTCGCTCTACTCCATACTGGTACTGTATTTAACAAATCTAAAAAAAAGAACATCTAAGATTTGAAGATATAGTACCAGTACGAAATAGAGCAAATAAAACTGGTCATAATTGACACGTAGATTTGGTTGGATTTGGAGGGTTTTCATACCGAAAATTGACAATCTTTTTGAGAAAAAAATGGATTTGTTGCATCCCTAAATAAATCAATTGTAGTCAGATTAAAAAAAAGAACTGTATCAGTTGATTAGCACTGTCTTGATCTTCTATTTTAATTATGCTCTTTTTATTGTTACATTCGGACGTGCTTACAATAATTATCATAAACATTCGCAGCTGTTCGATTTACACAATTATAAACAGTAATAATACACATCGAGAAAAGGCAAAAAAAAATTGTATGATGCCAAGTTTGGTAAATAAATGTGGTGAAGAAGAAGAAATTAAGAAAAAAGAAAGAGACAAAGAAGAGATAGATAAAAAAAAGAGAAACGAAAAGGATAAAAAACAAACAAAAGAAAATACGGATGCTCGCGAAAAAAAATTGCATAAATCTGCGTCTGAACACGTTTTTTTTATCGGCTCGGATGTTTTCGTTAGATTCTAAACGCATTTTTTTCCACGAAAAACGCAAAAAAGCAGTTCCGGAACGTGTTCTTTACGATACGTTTTATTGATACAAAACGCGTTTTTTTTTCTATAACAGTCTTATTCTATTCGTTTATCTATATTACTGATTTCATCACATTGTCGAAGTGTAGTCGACATACAAATTCTCATTCTATCCGATTTATACGTAAACCTTTTGTTAAACTTTAACGGAGCATTTGGATATGTCAACTATACTTCAACTTTTTCTTTAGAGACAATTTCCCTAATAACGACGGTAAAAAATTGTCTCACCTTGTTGGACTCGTGCATGACTATTGCCCACATGATCCAAAAATATTTTTATATCTCCCTGGCTAAAATAAGTGACACATCTAGTTTTTGA